TAAAAAAAATCTGAACTCTTTATGCTTGGTTTCTCTGTATTTTATTTTATGGTTCTTGTAGTAGACCTGACAGTTATTCTCAACAGTGATTGGAAGCATGGTTGATATAAATGTGTGTTTGTGCAATGTAGTAGCAAAAGCAAAAAGTACACTCATCCTTACCTCTCACATGAAAATATAATTCTTTCAAATCATTATTGATTTTCACATTCAGTTTCACAGAACTGCTACAGTGCTCACTAGAAGAATGTGCCCATATTTCTCATGGGACAGATGAGAAATATTAATAGTTGAAGATTATTCCTGTTGACCATAATTTCCCCTAAATGTAAACTGTGTTTATTTTAAGAGATGTAGGTGTATGAATCAGAAAATCCAAATTGTGCTCTGCACAGTTAGTTGTACATCCTGTCACTAAATTCATAGCAAACCTCACTGTATGGTTTACCACTTCTGAGTTTAGAGCTGAGGACGGTGGTTACTTTACAAAACTGAAATTGTTATAATGGGACATCATTGTAGGGTGCCCACTCTTTCCTACCATCTTTAAATATAAATTTTGCTTTGTAGTTGCTTTAAATATTTGCTAAATGAGATCAGAAACAACAAAAAAATAAATAAAACAAGTTTAGGCATTCGAGCAAGATACTGCCAAAAACTATTAGTCCTTCCAACTTGGAATATACCCAATATCTAATAACAGTGAAGATGGAAAATAAATCTCTTAAAATCAGACTTCTTAGTTACTGCTCTGCAGTGTGCAGAGCAGTATCTGTTCTCGCAGAGCCTAAATATTGAGCTGTTTGCTCCAACAGACTGCTAAACTAAAAAGCATTTTGTCCTTGGATAGGATGATAATCTTGGAACCAATATGAACCTGAAATTTGTAAGGAACTAATAACTCCTATGCTGAGAAGCACTAGGGTTACCAATTCACTGTGAGAGAGGAAGGTAAATGGAGACCAACTTGATGAGAAATAGTGACCTTTCACACACACAGCTGAAATGTAAGATTTTTCCATGATTTGGGGTCTGATTTAAGAGTACAAGTGTGTTCAGGACAATCTGTCCCTCAAACAAATATACTGTAGGTAAATAGTTGTCAGTTAATTATACACTGTCAGTTAATTACAGCATGCTTATCAGTACTCTGCTGTTACAGAACATAATGTTATATTTTTATCCTATAAAACAAATTACTAGGAACTGATAACCAAGAAAAATATTTTTCCTCTGGCAAAGTTTTACTCATTGGCTTTAAGAAGCCATAATACCTGAAATACTATGGTGAGGTTATATATTAAAAAAGAGGGATACATCATTGATCTGAATTCCATGTGAAAATTACAAAGAGTTTTGTGATACATTAAAGATTAACAGATGTATTACATCATAAATGTTTTGAGAACTAAGTTATATGGAAGATTGTATAAGCAGTAGGATCAAAGGGAAAATAAATGCACTATTTCAGTGGTCATTCGTAAAGCAGGATTAATAGCAATAGCAATAGCACTTAAACTTATATACAGCTTCATAGTGTTTTACAGCCCTCTCTAAGTGGTTTACAGACTTAGCATATTTCCCCCAACAATCTGGGTCTTCATTTTACCAACCTTGGAAAGATGGAAGGCTGAGTCAGCCTTGAGCCAGTCAGGATCAAACTGCTGGCAGTTGGCAGAATTAGCTTGCAATACTGCATTCTAACTACTATGCCACCATGGCTCTTTATATGATATAATAATATCATATAAACATTGTGCTATAAATCCATAGTGTGATTAAAAGCCATTATTCTGATTCAAGACAAAAGCTGAATCAGAGGTAACCATAGCTTGAAAATTGTAACTCGGTGTCTTATAATGGGATCTTCCTTTAAAGGTTTTTTGACTGTAGAGGTTCTTCATTTATTGCTGTTCTTGATGTAGCATTTACATCTGTTTATTCTTTTGCATAGTAACCAACCTGAAATGAAATTTATCATCTGAGGTAATTTCTTTCATTTCTGAACTGACTGGGAAAAAAAGAGTTTTTTCAGTTAGTCAGTCAGTTTGCAAATTATTGATTTTATCAACAGGATTTATTTATCACCTCAATTAACTAGGTCCCTAGGCAATGAACAACATCCAAAATTAATAAGGCACTTTAATATCAATATGTAATAATAATACTACAGCATAATATAATTTTAGAAAGCTATGCCAATGTAACCACGCTGTTCAATTCCCAAAGCCTAGCTTTTATGAGGTTCCAGAAGGCTCTCGGGGCCTTTGGAGTAGTGGTGAAATGTAAAATTTGTTACTACCGGTTCTGTGGGAGTGGCTTGGTGGGGGGGTAATGTGACTGGGTGTCAGCCTCATGATGCTTGCTTGCTTTCGGCTACCATTGTAACGGGAGGGGGGAGGCATTGTAGGTATTTGGGAGGGGGGGAAGTGAGCTGGTGGAGATGTCTCGGAAAAGGGAGGAAAATTCTCACTGTCTTTTTAGCAGCTGCAGAGAGAGCTGATAACTGTCAAGGTCACCCGTCCCGGCAGACCAGATAGATGGGGCCGCCAAAAGAAGTACCCCACATGACACCTTGGGGAGATGTGGATTGGACATTCAACCTGGGTCTGTGGGGGGAGAGATTTGGGGGATGCTTTCAATATGTAATTTTCACACCTATCGCCTCAGACTTTGCTTTTCTTTCACTGCATTCAGTTCATACTCAGTAAAAGTACTTTTCTTTACCAACATGGAGCTGGGGTTTTCCTTTCTTGAATTTTGAACGGAGCCAAGCCTGACATTAGGTGGGCGTGGCCATCTTTTTTTTTTACTTTTACTTTTAAAAGCAGGAAGTAATGATACCCGGGCGGATGGGCGGAGCCTCGCACCACCATTGTTACCGGTTCTCCAAACCACCTGCCACAATCGCTACCGGATCGCCCGATCCAGTCTGAACCGGAAGCATTTCACCCCCGCTTTAGAGCCATTGTCACCTGAGATGACAGGTATTTCTAAAGAAGAGGAGCTAAGGGAGTTTGTATTATGGCTAAAACAGCTTTAAGAATGCCCACTTTGTGACTATCCCTATGTTATTTACTGTCTCCAAAGTACATGTGTACATAAACAGGCAGAAACCTGCAACTGGCTTTTCATCTCTGCAGGGAAGGTGCACAGCAGAGGCATCTGGCAGAAGGTCGGAAAGATAAACAATGCATGTAAAAAGGAGCAAGGCTTTAATTGCAAGGTTGTAGCCTCCATCCTGAATTTTTATTACCCCTCCCTCTCATGGATGTTCCTGCTGCAAAGTGCAGTTCTTGTAGCTGGTGGCTTTAGAACGGAAGGGAGAAGAACCACTTTCAGGGCTTTCTTGTTGAAAAGTCTGTGACTGAGCTCCAGAGCCAGAGAAGATTCAGGTGGGCAAAGGTGGCTATTCTTGCTCAGCTTTTGTATATCTTTCATCTTTGCATTCTGAAAGCTCACTTGCTGAAATACTCTGGATTATTTGATCTCTTGAGCACAGCTTTAGTTTCTTGGACACTTGCTCAGCAAGAAGGGTTTTCCCCCCACCTCTTCACTCAATGGAGGGCAGAAGGAAGCTTCCCAGAATTTTGAAAAATAGTATTGATTTTTCATTTATTTCCTAATGTAAGAATTTAACACTTTTTTTTTCCAGCTGGGATTTCCAACAGTTCGAGTGCCCAACTAGTCAAGGGGCCACCTTCCTGCAGGCTGCTTCATGTGGGCTCCGTCATCCCATTGGCAGTTTGGAATACCTTCTAACTGTGCAACTATTGGCCACTTTGGCTTGTTTCATTTCGACACTTCAGCAGTTTGCATTTCCATTTGCATTATTCTGCTCAGTAAAGGCATCCATGAGTCAAACTCAAATGATGGATAAAGCCACGCTGGGTTTTTGGCAATGATCAAGTAAAAGTTTGCCATTGCTTTCTTTGGGGATTGGTTTTTTTTTTCTTTTAGTTTCTCAGATTATGCACAGCCCTCAGATTTCCCAGAAATCTCTTGTGCAACATTGCCTACTTGCTTGGTCAGGTGCTGCAATCTGCTAAAATATTATAATAGCCGTGTTCCAATAAAAGTTGAGCTCAAGAACTGCATGTCCTAAGTTGAGCTTCTTCAGATATTATTGCTGCTCTAATAACTATGTGTGCCAGGTTGCACATGCATTTTGTGTGAGCTGGAGTGGGTCGGATATTCTAGCCTTTGGAAGCATCATAAACAGTTCTGGTCTCTTATATTTCAACTGCATTAGGTATCCAGGAATATCCCAGCATTTTCCCCAACCAATGTGTCAAAGTAGCATCCCCTGATTTTCCAAAGGCAAACATTCTAGTACACCTCTGAGAGTACAATTGATCTGGTACCAGAACAACCTCTGAGTCCTATTTTGCAGTGTGTGATCAAAGGGAGGTAGGAGGTCATGCCGCAGAGCAGCCTCTGACCTCAGAAGGTTATCGAGCGTGACAGAGAACATCAGCCGTGGTCTGCAGGACAAAGCAGGGAAATAAGCCACTCTGAAAGAAGAACTGTTGGGGGTAAGATGAAAGAGGGTAGAAATGTGAAATCGGAGTTGAGAGGACAACAGGGAACATTGGTATCGTGGTTAATCAACCCAATAGTTGGATGAGGGTCACTAATCTGGCAATAAAGCCAAAATGGAAAATAATTTTATCACCAGGTTTTTAGAATTTAAAATATTCATCATCCCATTGCTTTAGAATGTTTGCAACACTTGTCTAGATGCCAGGAAAGGATGAATATCTCCATTCCCATTCCTTTCAGGTACTCGGACAATATAAAGTATGTACTGTAATGTTATAAATACAAAAGATAACAATCCACTACCTTTCTTTATATTTAGGATATGTTTAAGGATGGGCAAAAATAACAAGTTCTGAACAAAAATAAAAGTACAGAGTCCGTTGGCAACTAAATAAAGTAACATGGTGTAATAGAAGAGCTAAGGTGCCTAATTACGTTTTATTACTTTCTGTCTCCAGAGGACTGCAAAAACCTTGGCCAGAGAGCTCCTGCTGGGCTGCTAGAGAGCAAAGGCAGAATTCCGTGCTTATGAGAACACGCTTAGAGAGCAATCCCCAAGACTTGGATACAAAGAAGGATTTCTGCTGATCATTTATGTTTTGCCAAGAAACAGTGAGTGCTGTGCAGATAAAAAGAAGGAAAGGAATGGCCAGCCCTTTCGTTGGGAAGAATTGCACAGTTGTCTCAAGCAACAGATGCTGGGAAACGACTCCAAAGCCTCTGAGCTAGCTGTCTTTCTTCAAATGCACTGGGGAAAGCTGTTCCTATTGTCAAAGAAAGAGATTCAACAGCAAATCCAGTTGCCTTTTGCCACAAAACACGAAGCCTCATTTTGTATTTCACCTCAAAAAAACAAAATGTCTTCTGATCTTTGAAGAGAAAAATCAAAGGGAGATTGTAAAAAAAAAATAATGTCAAATAGTCAGAAAGAAACATCAGCCTCTCTGGAGGCAACAATGAGCAATCTGGAAGGCAGTTTGGATGTGAACCATAGCCAAACCAGAACCCATTCTGAAGAGGAATGGCTAAGACTGAAAGAGAATTCTGATGACCAGTGGGGATCAGTCTGCCTCTCTCTCTTGGCTGGAGGGCATCCAGAGGTTTCAACCCCTCTGTTCCATTAATGATAATCAGCATGCCAAAAGCATCGGGCTACATTATGTTCCACTTCAGTTTCTGCCAGTGATGCAGCAGGAAGTCAAACCCTGGTACAGAGGTCCTCAAACTTGGTAGCTTTAAGACTTGTGGACTTCAACTCCCAGAATTCTCCAGCCAGCATAGCTGAAGTCCACAAGTCTTAAAGCTGCCAAGTTTGAGGACCCCTGGTTTAGAAGGTCCATGGCTCTGTATGGAATGGGTAGTGGAGACTTTTGTTGATATCATAGTTGCCAAATGGATACCATTTGAAACTGTTCCAGTCCATATCCACATCTCACATGGGCTCAAGAACCAGAGATTTTGAGCAATTTTTGATGTTTTTTTAAATCTGGGGACAGTGACTAATTATCCCCATTGTTGTAGTTTTTCAGAGCATGTGCAGAATTCCCTCTTCCCCATCTCCCCTGCCCCTCTCCCCCACACACACATCCATGGCTCTGAAAGAAACTATACCGAGTGGAGATTTTGTCTTCTAACAAATGCACCTCAGCCTCTCTCTCAGAAATTCACTCTGCTGGAATTAAATTTCAAATTACAAGAACTAATTAATCAAGAGGCCGTTTTATTTTTATTTTTCATTAAGGGTGAAATATTGAGGTCTTCTAAAAGAGTCCAACATATCCTTTCCTTGATTAAAAATGTTAGCCTCTACCTCCCAGGCTAGAAATTTCAAAGCAGCTGCTAATTTGGCCTCCTAAGGGAAACTTGGCAAGAATTGCTGGTCTGGAATTTTTATTAGGGAGGTTTAATTATTATGTGCTTTTTTTCCCTCTCCCACCCTTTGGATGAGAAATATTGCCAAGCCCCAACTGTGACACTGAATGGCCTCATAAATTCACAGTGAAATGTACAGCTTCGGACTCTGGAGATGGCTGAACTACGTAGTTGAACTGCTACATCAACAGGTCAGCTCCAGTAAAGAGGACTCTTCCTTCCACCAGGAGTGTGCTTGGGGTTCCCCACATAATTTGGTGTTTAGCCTAGGCTTCACATTTCTTACACAGTGACTCTAAAGCAAAACTCCAGTCAGCTGCGAGGTGAAATCAAAAGGACAGATGAGAGTCCAGCCTGAAAAACAGCACTTTGAAGCAGCCAAATGGTTCAAACATTGACCACTGTTTCCCTCTCTCTAAATAAGGAAATACAGCTTCATTAGTTTCTGGCAGAAATCAAGAGTGCAGCTAAAGATTGTTCCACAAGGCTAGAATGTTAAACTCCAAGCCAGTAGCTGGCATTTTGACGTTTTGTTGCTGAACTGCAATTCCCAGCCCTATTCTCACACGGGGGCCCTGGTGGTGCAGTATTGCAGACAGAATGCAGTATTGCAGATAAACTCTGCCCACAGCTTGGAGTTCAATCCTGATGGGGCTCAAAGTTGAGTCGGCCTTCCATCCTTCCAAGGTCCATAAAATGTAAGCAACAGATTGTTGCTTACATTGTAAACTGCTCAGAGAGTTCTATAAAGAGCTATGGGGCGGTATATAAGCTTAAATGCTAATGTTATTGTAAGGACCCGCCCCAGCTGTCCCCTCAGGAAAGCATGACTCCTGAAACAGTTAGTTATGAAAAGGAACTTTTACTGAGAGAAAGTGATTGCAGAGAATTCAGGCGGAATCTGAAGTTCCCACTCAAAGCGTTAACCTATTGTTCCCCATTCAAACCCCACCCCTCTTCACCAGTCCACCGGCAGCCAATACAGTTCCACATAGGTGTTTTGAGAACTCCGAGACGTTAGCTTGATAGAAATTCATCTGCAGGGCGCAGGCTGGAACCAGCTGGGAGGAAGCCCATCTGTCTTCAAGATAGCCCCTCTCCCTAAATCCCACGCAGTTACAGCAAAAGTTACAGCATGTAGAGAATGCAGCCCAATAACCTCCGCCTCCCCACATCAGAATGGCAGTGTCCCAGCAGAGGACCTGACATGCTTCCCCCCCTTAAAAGAAGGATGGCTTATACCTATAACACATAACATAATAAATAGGAAAGAAAAAGAAAATATTTAGTTTCATTTAGGTTTGTCAGGGTATTAGTTGTGAAACTGTTTGACTAATTTAGGGGCTCTAACATGGTGGTGGTTAACCAATTCATTTTGGGCAGAGGAAAATCTTTCCATGCCATCAGGTATTTGAGGGTCCCTTGATGTTTACGGGAGTCCAAAATTTCCTTAACTTCAAAATGTTCATCTCTTTCTATCATGAAGGGTTGAGGAACAGGCAGAGGAGCTGGCCTCAGGGGAAAAGACACCTCAGGTTTCAATAGACTACAGTGAAAAACAGGTTGGACCTTAAGGAGGGACTTGGGTAGGTCTAACGCTACTGCAACAGGGTAAATAATGCGTTTAATCAGGAAAGGTCCAACAAACCTGGGTCCTAACTTCTTAGAAGGTTGCAATGACTGTAAGTATTGTGTGGAAAGATATACTCATACCCCCATATTAATCTTCTTTGACTCAATTCTTTTATTGTCCAGTTGACATTTATAGGCCTCTTGAGCTTCAGTGAGTGCTTTATGTATAACCGGCCAGGTATTCTACAGCTGGCCAATCCAGTATTTCAGTAAGGGGATTACTGGGTCCTTGGTGGGTAACTTGGGCATAGGCTTGAAATCTTGACCCGATGCAACTCAAAAAGGGGTGAAAGCAGTACTGCTACGTACAGAATTGCTGTAAGTCATTTCTGCAAACGGTAAAAGGTCCGTCCAGTTGTCTTGTTGATAGTTTATGAAACATCTAAGGTACTGTTCCAGAACTGAGTTCACTTGTTCACACCCTCCATTTGTTTGCGAATGATGACTAGAACTAAATCCCTGGTCAGTAGCCAATAGGTCCAAAAAGGCCCTCTAGAATCCCACTATCAGATATGATGTGCTGGGGTGCTTCATGTAGCCGATAGATGTGATTTAAAACAGCTTAGCAAGTCCCCATGCCGTGGGTGTTTATTGGCAAGGGACAAAGTTCACTTGTTTTGAAAAAGATCTGTCACCACCCAGATTATGATATTCCCCGCGCTTTCAGGGATTTCTACAATAAAGTCCATAGAGATCCTCTCCAGGGTGCTGACAGCTCGGCTACAATCTGAAGTAGCCCCGGTGTTCTCCCCTGTCTCCATTTAGCAGATGCACAAAGGGCAATATAGCTTTCAATGTCTTTTTGAAGGGAGGGCCATCAGAATTGCCGTTTTATTAAATGCAATGTCTTTACGAATCTGAAATGTCCTGCTGCTTTTGAATCATGGCGTGTGTTCATAATCTGGAGCCTTTGGCTCTTTGGCACATACAGTTTTGTTCCCACCCAAGCCAGTCCATCTTGGATGGAGCAAACATTGCTGTGATTGTGGAACCATTCACCCTCTGTTAGCGCCTTTTTCAAGGCGGAGGCTACATCGTTCCTAACTGGCAGCTTTTCTTTCTGCTGTGCTCTGGTGGTTACTTGGGCTGCCACTTGATGCAACAGGAGCGCTGGTTTGATTATCTCTGCTTTGGAACAATTGTATGGTGACATCTGCAATAGTGCTGGCTGTCAGTCATAGGAAGAGATAGTGGGGAAGGCAGGCTTTGATGCAGTTCAAGGCAACTGTCAGGCTTCGATGTCATCTCAAATAAATTGCACTCCCAAACAATTAATCTTTGCTGAAATATTCCATTTATTGAGTACACCTGCCTTGGATTGGAACTGAACATTGTGTTCTAGATCAGCAGTTGGCCATCTGAGCTCCCAGAACTAGATGTAACTCGTTGAGCACCTCCTAATCAGAGTTGCCATTATTAGCATCCTAGTTTCCTGCTATCTGGAGGATGAAAGAAACAAAAACGGTAAAATAAGCTTAGGAAAGCTTAAAACAAAGACAAAATCTCTGCTTTTTTGCCCCATGATGCCCCCCTGGAGGGTGGGTAACCTAGTTGTGCTTATATGTCCTGTCACTTCTTTCAGCTGGGGGCAGTGGTGGGTTTCAAATTTTTTTACTACCGGTTCTGTGGGTGTGGCTTGGTGGGCGTGGCATGGCTTGGTGGGCATGGCAGGGGAAGGATACTGTAAAATCTCCATTCCCTCCCCACTCCGGAGGAAGGTTACTGCAAAATCCCCATTCCCTCCTGATCAGCTGGGACTTGAGAGGCAGAGAATAGATGGGGGTGGAGCCAGTCAGAATTTTTACTACCGGTTCTCCAAACTATTCAAAATTTCTGCTACCGGTTCTCCAGAACTGGTCAGAACCTGCTGAAACCCACCTCTGGCTGGGGGTCATTGGTCTGTCAAATAAAATGCTAACTCTGGTTGCCAAAATCAAAAGATTGCCCAATTGAGCGGCTAGAGTATTGTACTTCCTCCTCCATTTATTTGAAGAAAGCAAGTCAAGAAAACAATTGGTGGGATCTGCCCTAAAATTTAGAAGCTGCTATTGTAAGCAAAGATAAATATCAAAGAGAAAGATCACTTTGTACTCTCCTGACTCAATCAATCAATAAAAACAACATTGACTTGATTTAAAACAGATCTGATGAAACAGCTAGCTTTCTTTCACTCATTGATTTAAGGTTCAATGCCCTCAAGTGGGGGACTGGGAAGTGTCCAGCACTTCATCTAGTTCTAGACAACAAGATCAGCCCTAAGTTCATTTCTGAACTTCTCATCTTAAATTCATCTCCTTCTCTAGATCTGCCTCCCTGCCAGCAATAAGAGGAAAGGAATGTTGTGCATATATAAACAATTCCATTCTACCTTGCCTTTCAATTAAAAAGCATACCACAAGTGAATGTGTTAGGACACAAAGAATTCCTGCCCTATATTTCCAGACAGCAGGGAGTGGAATTGTTTCTTGGGATATCTGGAGGACGCACATTTGGAGAAAGCTGCCCCAGAACTATCAAGAGGAGAGCCTTCAGGTACTCAGGTCTTCCTTAGCTTCAGAGACGAAACATGGGAGTGAGTTCAAACTCTCCGGAACTTCTGCCCACCTCCAGTTGTAGGGATATAAAAGCCTCTGATGGGGACCTTAGTGGACATGGACATGTCTACCTGGGACTCAAGCTAAAAGTTCTGTCTCCAGTTATATCAGGGTTTTGTTTTATTATTTCATAGAATCATAGAGCTGGAAGGGATCTTGGAGGTCTTCTAGCTGAACCCCCTGCCCAAGGCAGGAATCTTTATACCATCTCAGACAACTGGTTGTCCAATTTTTTCTTTAAAATGTGATGTGGGGTGTCTACAACTTCAGGAGACAAGCTGCTGTTCCATTGATTAATGTTTCTCACTGCCTGAGAAGTTTTTCCTTAGTTCCATGTTGATGACCTTCTACCCATTGCTTCTTGCCTTGCCTTCACGTCAGTGGTTGAAATCCTCCTCGGATCGCTGACAGTTCGCTGCCTGCGCATGCGTGGTGTGTGCCAAATGTGTGCTCTGCACACACACGTGTAGTGCATGCCAAAAGCAAGCTGCACACACGCATACACAGCGCACACCAAAAGCATGCTGTGCGCGCATGCACGGTGTGTGCCAAACCCGCGTTTTGTGTGGAAAAAGAAAACTTCACTAGGTAAGGGGAACAGCAAGGGGGGGGAAAACAGCTGTGCTGTGCAATTTAGCTTTGCTAGAAAGCAGGATTTTCTGCTTTCTAGCGAAGCTAAACCGCACAGCACAGCTGATCGTTGGAAACACCGATGATGAACCAGTAGCTTTTTTAACTACTGATTTGACCGAAACAGGAGCGAACCAGTAGCATTTCACCCCGGCTTCATATGCTTTGGAGTATAAACCAATGCTCCTTTCCCCTATGATGGCCCTCCAAGTACAGGTAGTCCTCAATTTATGACCACAATTGAGCCCAAAATTTATGTTCTTAAGCGAGAATTTGTTAAATGAGTTTTGCCTCATTTTACGACCTTTCTTGCCACAGTTAATAAGTGAATCGGACTTCCTCATTGACTTTGCTTGTCACAAGGTGGCAAAAAGTGATCACATGACCCATGCAACGGTCATAAGTTTCAGATGCCAAGCATCTGAATTTTGATCACGTGATCATGGGGATGCTGCCAAGGTCATAACTGTGAAAAATGGTCGTAAGTCACTTTTGTTGGTGCTGTTGTACCTTTGAATGAACTGTCATTAAATGAACTGTTGTAAGTCAAGGTACTCCCTGTATTGGAAGACTGCTATCATGTCTCTCCTGGCCCTTCTCTTCATTAGGCTAAACATACCTTTGTGGTTCATCACCCAATTTAGCCTCCAGACCCCTGATAATGATAATCTTTCTTTACATGATTTATGTCCCATATTGCCACCTAAAGCTCAAGGCAATACATGAAACATAAAATAAATGATAATAAACTCTCATTTGAAACACAATCACAAAAGGAACTGAAAATGAAAAAGTCAGGATTAAAGGTTTGAAAGGTGCAGAGCAGATCACAGATGTTTCAAATTTTCCTTGCAGTTCATCTCTCGGTGTTTAACTAAAAGCTTGCCCATCTTCTTACCAGCCAAGGCAAAAGAACCCATAAACCAGGAGGTGGCATAACATTCTATATTCACACATACACAAATGGCTAGAATGAAGCCTGGAGTGCAGTCCCAAGAAAAAACTGTCTCCTCTCCTTTCTTGTCTCAGCCTGACCTTGACAAATAGGGAAATGTCTTTTGTGTGAGACTTAGTTTTAATTTTCCCAGCTTTGATGAGGAATGAGGTGGCACTGTTTAGCTTCTTCCAATAAACACAATTTTGAGTTCACTTTCATGAATACATTTTACATCTATTATTACACAGAGCATTAATTGAACTGATCAATAGTCAACGTCATAGCTCATGAACAATCTAGATTATTTTTAAGAAAAACATTCTGTCGTGGCCCCATTGGAGCCCGAGTCTGTGGAGGAGGATGAGCCAAAGCTGGGGCCGACAGAGGAACGACCTGAGGAGCAGGACAAGGCAGGCCAGGGTCCCTCGGGCCTGGGAAGGATTGCCAGTGAGGAAGAAGAGGTGCAAGACGACCAAAAGAGGGCAGGCAGTGGAGCAGAGGACGATGGAGCTTTGGCCGACGAACAAAGACTGCCCGCTCCTGATCCCCAAGCACGGAGAGTGCAGAGGAGGTGGGCCCAGTGCAGGCCGACCCAATAACTCGGGAGGAGGGTGCCCCATCCCTCTTCACAAGGCTCACCTGGGGACTGAGACTTAAGGAGACGCTGTCGGGAGGGGCCTTTTGTCGTGAACAAACGCTGAATTCTTGGAGCCTTGCATGCCGTTGCTGACATCTGGATTTTGTCTTGTTTGCCTTGCCCGTTTTGCCTGCCTCGCTGGACTTCTTGCCTTGTCTGCTCCCTTGCTAACTTTACTTGCTGGACTACTTGCAGCCAGAGGCTGTTGGGGGTGCATGTGAGAGCTTTGCTCCAGGATTTGCAGTAACTGTGGGGATGTTTGGGGGAAAGTTGGAGCAATAAAGGGGAGTTACAACTGTTCTCTGGCTGTGCTGCTTCTGTGCATCACCCCAGGTCATCACACATTCACACACAGGCAGAGAGAATCAAGAAGTCAAGAATGCTCGTAATTATTTATCACAGCGTTGTGGCCGTTTTCACAGTTTTACCTCATAGAACATGCAGACCCTCATTCTAGCTAGTTTTGCACAATAGGTCAACTGAAGCCTAGGAGCTGCATTCCTCCATAAGAGAGTATGCTTGACTTATTTTGTTTATTTTTCTTAATGTGTTGCACGTACACAATATTCTTGTTTTATTGAATTGAGTGAACCCCCAAAAAAAGAATGAATTCAGTAATCTCTCCAAGAGAGATGAGCAGTTAAGAAATATGAATAAATTAAAAAAAAAATAAAGTTTAAAATATGGTGGGAATAGTGCCAGAGAAAGATACAGTATATTATGCCCGGCTTTAAGGGCTTTAATCAACAAACGTGGAGAACTTTGGCTGATCTATGTGCAGAGTCTTTGCAGAGGGGAGGACGAGGGGCACAATCACGTCATCAAAGCCCCACCTCAGAGTTTCACCCACATAGTGGTGGCCACCATCTTGGCTTCCTGGACTTGCGTGGTCCTTTTTTCCTTGCATTTGATTCCAACACACACACACACACACAAACTTGGACCCCTCCCTGCTTATCCTTGAATTTAATTCAGTTTCGGAAGCAGGCCGGTATCTGTACTTCCGGAAGGACTTTATTTAAAGTCCTAATTGGAAATATCTGTTATTTTGTGTTATT